TGATTGACAGCCAGGAAGCAATTTCTTCAGCCAACCACTGCCGGTTATATGGTCTGCATGCATGTGTGTATTGACTGAAGAAATCAAGTTGTTATATGTATAATTAATGTAATATAATTGTAAATGTGGATTTATTGCTATTATTAATGTTATGGCTACTTGGTTGCTATTGGAAATAGTTTTCTACAATTATTGGTTTGCGTGATGTTTGCTTGTAAAAGTTTGTAATTAAATGTTAGTAAAGCAAAAAAGTGATACGCCATGGATATATGTGTATAGATAATTAGGACAAACAATGTCCAGTAGTTAAATTAACTCCACGAAAGTGTTTGCTATATTTCACAAATTTGGTGAAATCATTTTTTTGATTTGTTATATAATTAGCTAGAACACGATAAATACGTTAACTTCATTTAATTTATTTAGTTAGTTACCATATTAGTATTTTTATAATTTTCTTGTTCATAAACATTTAGCTAATATATCTAAATATATCTATGGAAGAAAACATTGAAAAATATTTAAATAAGCTAACATCAAAAATGCTGATTCACGATGATCATTGTAAATTGTTTTTATTTTATTCATTGCTCATCAGAACAGTTTACTCTCTTCAACCTAATATTTCATATAAACATGTTTTATAGTTCAAAGGAAATTTGATCAGATTCTAAAATTATTTTCAAAATTTATAACGAAATTAATATTCATTGAATTTTTAGGTTTTAAAGGTCAGTGAAAGGGCGTTGAGCTCCAAGATATATTTTTAATTCTTAATAATTTCAACTCTACTTTTGGAGTACCTATATGTAAGCTATATGTATTGAATTTGGGTTTGAAAACCTTAAGTGATTTTTTTTAATTAATATTTTAAATTCATAATACTATTTGTTCTGCTATATATGTGATCTTATCATATATTTTATTAAATAAGTACTAAATTCGCTTTAAAAAACATAACTTTATCAAAATATTAATTTTTTGGGTAATATTCCACTGGTTAATCAGTAACCAAATTAGTTAAATAAAATCTAGATTTTATGATAACAATGGAAAAAACAAATGAAACGAAATAGTTAATAATATTTCCTAATTATGTTCTTAATTAAACATTTTTTCGCACTGATTCTGATAAAAATATATGTAATCAAAAAGTTAATATAGTTATCATATCGAAATATTTAGATATAAAGCTGGTATAGTTTATTGGCATACCATTAACAATATTACTTCAACAAAACTTTTTCTTAATAATACTGAATATTTCATATGTAACAATTTTATACATACGTGCATATTTTAGTGTTAATCCCAAATCCTCAACCAATTTTGCATCACGCTTGGCCTGCTCTAAGACAGGATCAATTATAACAGCTTCGTGTGTGTTGAGATCAGCTAAAAGGTAAGTGTATGTGCTACTTTCCGTATCGAAAAGCTTAAAACAGAGTTGTTTAATATTACATACTTTATAAAGCCAGTTTTAATTTTAAAGAATAATATTTAATCAGTTTATTGTAAATATATAACCACATGAAAATATTCAATACAGTGTATGTATTTTTGGGTATGTTTATATACACTTCACAATAACCTGACGCTTTATTTTTAGTACACTTTTAGTAGACTTACCTGTCGGAAGAAGAAATCGTTTGAAAAAGAAATGCGTGGTAACATTTTGGAATCTGCACTGCAATGGTGTAAGCGATATTTGTTTAAAAGTGGCGCAGTAGTTGGATTTAACGTTACAAATTTATTCGACTGCAACACTCCACGCCTAACTGCTGAAAGCAAACTGAGCGATGGTAATTTCATATTTTTGCTTTTTTAACTTTACACAATCTTCGGCGATAGTAAAACTTATTATTTGTTGTTGTTGTTGTGGTTTCAGCTGTTATTGCTTTTGTCGGCTAATCAAAATGATTGCTCAGTGAGTAACTTTGTTTGTGTATTGTAATAAAAACGCTTCGAAGTTTATTAAGTTTTGTTTTATGATTTAATTATTTATACACTTCTGTTTTGCTTCTTCGTTTCTACAAAGTATTTTTTGTTATTAAATTTTTATTGTTTCTATATTATTATTCTTGCTTTGATTCATTCATAAAGCTGTTTTTTCTTAAAACAAATATATTTTGTTTTTGTTTTTATTGCCAAAACGTGCCATGTAAAAATATTCTAAAAGTTATTAAAAAAATATTTGCAACACTTGTTTTAATCACTTTTGCATTTACAGAATGAGTTTCTTTCACTTTTTAATGTTTTAATTTCAGAAACTTTTTAAAATACATAAAATTTCATTGTAATTTTGATTTATAAAAATTGTATTTATTCTGCACATTTATCCACGGAACAGCTGGCACAGACTAACGAAAATCTGTTTTGATATGCCAAAAGTTTGGTGCGTAAGCTTAAAGCTTTTTTCCAAAACCTGTTGCTTAAAGCTTTATTGTTTATTTTTTAGTTATGTATGCGAAGTACAAAGAAATACGTACGTGATCTGTTTTATATACTTAATGGAGAACGTTTTTGTTTTTGTTGTTTATATTTACCTGTGTAAATTCGCGAAAATGCTCACACGAGAAATGTTAATATGCCGGTAAATCGGTTGATTAGCGACTTCAATTAACGAGAAAATTGATATCAACCGTATTATATTACAAAACAATATTTCAACTTTATCTTTGAGTTAATAAGTATATAAAAGCTGTTTATTATATATACAAATAAATTGATTGATCATATAATTAATTATTGGTGGTTGGTAATCAGGCCCGTAATCAGGAATTTACCTCGGGGCTCCTTCAGATAATTTCAGTACTTAATAAAATTTTTATATTAAATTTTTATATATTATATTCAATATATAACAGTGTTACTAATACTAAAAAAAAGAAAACAATATTCAAATTTAATTGCGGGAAATTTTTAAAATTTTCAGAACATTCGAATATGAATAATTGATTATATTCAACATGCTGTCAAAGTAGAATTTTATACACCTAAATTCACCACACTGTGGATTTAATAAAGCTTACAGATTTTGCAAAGATCATTCATAAACGATATCATCTCGATACATTGAAGCAAGGTTTTTTAAGATTAACTAAATTAAATACTGACTTATTTTCATTTTATATTTGAAATTATTTCAAACATATATTTATTAGCAACAAGTGGATGAAATCCTTGAATATAAATTTAAACGATTACCTGGAGAAAACTTTAAAATTTAAGTCGTGTTGAAAAAACTTTATTTTTTGTAAGATGTTCGGATATTTTAATATAAAAACTTTTTTAGAATTTACGGGTAACAGCTGCTTTAAAGTCCAATTTATTTTACACAAAAAGGGTGGAAAATTATATTTTTAAAAGAAAGTTCTCAAGCATTTATAACTGAAATTGTTTACTTTAAAGATAAGAAAATCCTTTTTACGATTTTAATATTCTAACTGTGCACAGAAGTAATTAAATGAAAAAAAAAATGCGTCTATAAATTTTAACTTCAGTACAAAATGTATTTACCTATGTACACTATTGATAATCATAGGATGATGAGGAAAATGAAAGGAAGCACATTACTCAAGAATTTTCTTTAAGCGTTCTTTGAGAGTTCTTAGCGCGTTCTTTTGTAACATCTGGAAAATACTCGTAAAAACTCTGTTTCGCAGCGTGACTTTTATAGTTTATGTGCTAGACAATAGGCGTTGAAAGGTCGAATTTTTATAAATAAATTCCCGAAAATTTATTTGAGGTTTTTATAATGTTTATATGCTGTGAATTGTTTAACGTTTGCTGTTTTTTAGTTTTGTACAACTTTCTCCGAAATTCTTGTGTAAGAGTTGCAGGGGTTATAACCTCTTAAAATAAATTACATATTGTAATTTGAAGCTAAATTAATTAGAGAACATTTCTCACAAAATTACTCATTCGTTTCCATCGTTACATGCTGAGATTAAAATTTTAGCAAATTAGATTTTTAAAAAGGTTATGTGTAGATACACGCAAAATAAGTAAATAACTAGATGAATATATGTCCAAAGATGTTAATGTAAGGAAACAAGTTTTTTTTTTGAAAGAGATATTTTTCAACTTGTTAGTAGAATAGAATTGATGTGGAGATATAATATTTGTGTAATTTTTTAAATTAGTTACTAACTTCATTACATTGCTTAATCTGGTATAATATGTATCTGTTCTTCGTATTAGAGTCATCTTGATAGATACCGACAGAGTTTTAGTGTTTATTTCTATGAATCAATCCATACAATATAGAGTTTTAGATATGTTAAATGGTAGATAATAGAAGATCCATACGAGTTTTAGATATGTTAAATGGTAGATAATAGAAGATATATAAAATATCGAGTTTTAGATATGTTAAATGGTAGATAATAGAAGATAGTAGTACTAGCTTATTTCAAGGGTATCAGTTCACTTTTGGTTTATAAAACAGGTTCTTTATGATGTCATAATAACTTTTATGATAACTATTGTGATAACCATTTTTACTAGATTCGGCTATGTGCTTTATATCTACATTGGATTTTCTTAGCTTTCTAATGTTAGAGTGGTCTTCTCATTACAGTTTATGTGTTGTGATGTATTATAAACTCAACTTTTTTGACTACGTATTCTATTAGATCAAAATAGTAACAGAAACTCATATAAAAATCACGACCTATGATTATTACGACCTATTATTAAAACCTTGTAATTATTTACGCAACAATTACGCCACCTATAATTCTAATGCTACTAAATATAGGGTCTTCTTTTAGTGATAATTTATATTCAAACAACGGCACTCAGCATTCGATAGTGAGTATGTCTAACATATCGATGATTTTCATTTAAATACTTATGTCCGAACAACGTTTACAATTATTTATATATGAGTATGTATTTATTCAAAATATATAGAATGTCAATTAAAAAATTTTTTTACACTATACACTACACTATGAGACTTTGTTGTTCATTTTTGTTTATTTAAATTTAAAAAGACCCAAAGACGAGTCATTAATATACTTTCGTCGATGTACTTTTAAAAGCGTAGAGTTTGAGTAGTGTTTCTATAAAAATATTAAAAATTGGTGTTACTGTTTATGGCGTCAAGAAAATACTCCGGATTTCAATGATATTCCGGATGTTGTCACATATTGAACTGTGGCATGGCATTCTAGATATTAATATTTATCGCGAGTATAAAAGTGACGTTTGTTGGTATTGGGCTCTGCTTATACGTCAATTATGATCCATCCATGTAAGCAAGCATTTAGAGCGCCTATTGTGGAATGCTGCTTTAAATATTTAAAAATCTTGTGGAAAATTTGAGTTCCAACCGAAATTAGCTATTTTAATGCGTTTTATAAAAATTCGATATCGAATAAAAATATATTTGATTGTTATGAGTGTTGTTGAAAAAACCACATACTCAGAGAAAACGCAGTATAACGAAATAATTCTATGGTTAATTTGATTAAATCAAATAGTAATTAAATAGTAAATTCTAGGATTTCTAATCACATAAAAAATTCGCTTTCATATTATAAGTACAGTAAATATTACAGTAAAATATTATTGTGATGGTGAAGGGATGGAGCATATCAACTTGCGATTGAATTGATGCTGTTGGGTTATAGGTTATAGATCTTAAAATTAGAGGAAGTAATGTCTTAAGAACCTCACACGTTTCTTATTATTACAAAATATATTATTTTTGTGAGTTAAACCTTGATTAATTTTTTTATTTCTTTTATTTGAATATAATATCATTACTGCTCAATTTCTATATTTTATATTATGTAATTATACAACTTCCGAAAAGTAATCAAAGAAGGTAACTGAACATAAGAAAAGTCAATTAGTTAATGTTGGGTTTAATGAACTTCCCAAAGCAATTGTAAATTGGTATGGTGTGTTTTTGTAATTTGGTGTGGCAATGCCTTTGTAATTTCAATTAAATGAGCTTAACTGAAAACCTTTTGAATTACTGAACAACAATGTTTTTATTACGTGTTAATAAATTTGAAAATCGATATGAATTGAATTAAAGTTTAATTTTTTTTAATAACGATAACATTTAAACAATTAAATTGTAATTTTATATTTTGCTTGAAAAGTACAGTCTACTGTCCATAATTTATGGATTTACTGAAGTTGGAAGGTTGATGTGTTTATAAAAAGTATTAAAATTAAATAATAGTCAAAAGTATGAGTAATTTTTTATATTAATTTTGTAAGTCATAAATTTTGTATTGAAAACAATATGTTTTCATATATTATTTGTTATTATTTTTTTGTTATCAATGTACAACTGAACCCTGCCATAAAGAAATGGTCAGTAGGGAAAGTATCGATAGTGTTTTTCTTTACATTCAAATATTTATTTATTTTGCAAATAATTAATTTGCTTTTCGCTTTCATGTTACAATTGAATGATTTTGTAAAGAAAGTCTTTAAAATAATTTTTTGCTAACTTATTGCATGCCGTAATAAAAATTAATATTTACAAGTATATACCACGAATGAGGCACGAATGTGGTTTTTTTTGTGTACAATTAATGTTACATTTGTCTGTATAGTTTCCATAATTAGACAAAAAGATACGTAGAAGACTTTCATAAATTACATTTTCAAATTTTTTTGGAAAATGGAAATTTAAATATGATTTGTAATAGTGAAATATCTTACAAAGAGTTTGAAGCACTTTTTGAATCGATAGCTAGCTTATAAATGAATACTTTACCAATATAATTAAACTTCAATCTTGTTGAAATATTTTTGCTTTGTAGTTCGCCCGCATGGTGATTTTGTACAAGAACACTTTTATTACGATTCTTTTCTTAGTACTATGACTGTAGTCCGACAAAATTTTATTTTAAAGATGTTAATATTCATCACCAACAAGTAGCTTTATAGTTCTTTAGGCTTTACCTTTATCTTCACTGTAGAACATAATAAATAGTTCAATCTTCACAGTGAGCGATGTCACCCAAGCGATCCTGCTTTTTGCTACTTTCCTAAAATTTTGTGCTTTCGTAAGACACTACACAGTCTATCCATCTAAGCTTAAATTTTTCTGGTGCCCTATAACACTGCGCAGGGAGGATAAAAATGGGTGTATTGTTACAGATAAAGGTAAACAGGTAGCAGTTTGAAAGCCTATATGAAGATACAATTCCAATTCTATAATACAGTTCATTTAGTACTAAAGTAATTCGTACAAAAATGATTAGAAAGCACAAGATGCTATCTAATTTGCAATCATATTATCATTACAATGAGTTTAATCATCAGGTTTACAGGACATGTCTGTGATAGAAGCCAGGTATGAAGACACAATTCTAATAAATCATTAACACGGATTTTACTTAGGACTAAAGAAATTCATACAGAAATTATTAGAAAGGACAAGATGCTATCTAAAGTGCAATCATATTATCATTAGAATGAGCTTAATCTTCAGGTTGTAATGAACTTTAAGTACAAAGCTTTAAACAAGTCCCTGACACAATCACTGAGTAGGTACATCTATCCAACAATGTCCATGACCACTAAATAAAATTATTAAAAAATAAATAAATAAAAAATTTAAAAACTTATTCAAATAGTTTTTTAAACCTTTTGCTTGTATTATTAATCAATAATAACAAAAGTTCTGTGATTTTTATTTTAAGAAAAATACTTGAATATATTCACATCCATGTTATTATTTGTAAATTTTTTTTTGTACTTCAGTCAATGATATAAAAGAATTAACATTTTTTAATAAAGCAAATTTTTGAAAGAAACTTTTTGAGCACATTTCAGTTTTGAATATTAAAACGACTGTTGCCGCTTTATATTCATTCATATTTAAATAGGATTTGAAGCATTGATAGTCTAATGGGAAACTTGTGTTATTCCGTCAGAGATAAGTTAATTAATATGATAAGTTAACTGTGATAAAATGTTGACAAAAGACGACATTCAGCTTTTTATTTATTATTGATTTTTGAAATGAACTTACCATGGATGCGGATTTTTGTTTAGCAAAAGCACGATGATGTGCTGATATCGGTTCACTAACAACGCTGCCAGAATCCATTTTTCTCGTTTAAGTAATCATGCGAATTTTTAAAATCTGAAGGAAAAAAGAAAAAAATTAAAATAGATGTTCATTATAAATAATTAATAGTTAAAAAATATTTAAAAGGTTATAAATAAAACATTTGTGTGTGAAAGACTAATGGAATAAGTCTTAAAACAAACTTCAAAATGTATCTGTAAAAATTTACTTTATAATTATGTCTCGACAGTATAATGATTCCAATGCCAAAGCATAAGATTTTTTACACATAGTAAAAAAATTCTGTCAGATGTTAATAGACACTTAACTACTTATATATGTATTGTCTAGGTATTATAAATTTATGCTTAATCGAATAAATGTGTAACCTATGATATCTCAAAATTTCCAAAACTTTATGAAACAGCGTATATTATAGTATACATAAAGAATAGGTATTGGAATCGTAGTGCTTGGATGTTCTTGGAAGGTCGCTAAAAATGAATGTCAATTAGAGACATATATTATATATATATTATCAAGAAGTTGTATATATAGCCATTCAAAACTTGCAGTTTTATAGCTATATGTTCAAGTTAGATCTTAAAATTGCTCAATTTATAAAGTAACCTATAATAGAAGGATGATATGCAAATATCTGTGCACTAACACACTAAACATTATTATTTTTGTTTTTATTTATTAGTAATGATAGTTTAGATTATAAAGCTAATACTAACGTAGAGGTATAGGTCTGGGTATTGAGGTCTTCAGTTATGTGCTATGACAAATTGATACTAAATGTTTATAATTATATAGCTATATTATAGTATGGCATGTTTATACAATACAATACTATAATACAAATACTTATATTATACACTAAACATTGTCTTTAGCATTGCCTACTGAAAATTCCCATCGGTTCGCATTGGCAGCACTTCACTCTTATTTCTCGATTTTTGTTTTTATACTGCTTGATAGCATCTTCGTTATAATTAATTAATTATTTATATTTAAATTAGAGCAAAAATATGAAGAAATATATATATAATCAAATATATCAAATAATTGAAATAGAATAAACTATGAAAAAAATAGAAACTTCTTCTATAAATTTTCATAAATATTGCGAATATTAGTTTTTAATAATACTATGGAATTATTTAGGCCATCTGGAATGTAGGTCGCAAAACGATCCACCCTTTAAAGTTCGCTTTAGAATACATTTATTTAAATAAATAAATAACATAGCTAAATGAATATTAATTTAGTTTTCTCTGTTCTGTTATAATATTATAATAATTATTATAATAGTTAAATGGGTATTAATTTAGTTCTCTCTGTTCTATTATAATAGTAGTTATATGAATGGATGTGATAACAATAGACTTGTTTACATCTAAACAATATCTTTTCTTCATAATAATGAAAATAATATTAATACAAAAAAGTATTCTTATAAAAATAAATAATTATTACGCTCTGGACATTAATTATGAAATAGTGCAAAATAATTACGGTGCAACTAAGCCAAATTGTACTTTCTTTCCTCCTTTCCTTTTCCCTTTTTTTTGTAAGCCTATCTTTTCATAACATCATAAGTATATTTAAATATATATTCAGCTACGAGTACTTGTAATCAAAAGTATTTGAATAACACAATTTTTCATGAATTCATGTATTTATTTAGAACCACAAACGTTGCGTATCGAATTGCTTAAATATGCAAATGCGCATGCGTAACCATTGCAAACGCATTTTTTCATTTACACTTATCTCTCCCCCTTACAAATTACAATGCCATGTAACTTGAATCTAAACGAGATACTACGTACATTCAGCGCAGATACTTACCATTGGCTTTCGATGCAATTTTCGCTGTGGGGTGCATTGGGCGTTGTAACGGTGTCAGTATAAATTACGCACTTTCGCACAGAAATATCTTTTGTGCTCTCAACAAAGTATATTTATCAGTGCGAAGTAATTTACATAAAATTCATTAGGATTTTGCTTGAAAAAGTAGAAAAATTGTATTCAAATTACAAGGGTCTGCATTTGTCAAAAGGTGTAAAGTTTTAAACAAATAGTATTGTATGTAAATGCAATGTAAATTTGTTATCTGTAAAATTCTATTATTTTTTTAATAAATTGCATTTGTACTGGTTTTATTGAGTACACAAAATCCTTTAATTATAGATTCATGAGCGACATTTGCATTAGTTCATTAGTTTGACTTATTTTGTATATGAAATGAAATATTGCAGTTGTCAATTTCATTAAATAATACATAAATAAAAAGTACAGTTTTAGGTTTTAAAAAAAAATTCCATTTGAAATGAAATACTTAAAGTGTTGAACAGTACATTGCAGATATATTTAATTGCAATTGATTTTATCAAAAATAATATATGCAAATAATATGTTGGTTCCAATACTTTAAAATTGAATATTTTAAGGAACTATGTTATAGTTCATAGGTTAATTGACGCGGACAAGGACGACCAACTTCTGTAATAGCCAACTAAGTAAGTAAGTATAGTTCATACTTAGTTTCTCACTGATTCTAATATCAAACTTAAAATTGCTATAAACAGCACTAAATTCTTTTTTGCGATCTGGTGTCATTCCAGTAGTATAATCATATCTGTCACATTACACATTATAGTTCTATTAATGAGGTTAGTATAAATATAACATATATCAATTATTTAATTATACTTCTTATGTATGCTGATATACGATTTAAGAATAAATTAAAATAATTTATGGATTTGTATATGTTTACTATGTCACTTTGTATGCTGAGTGGTACTCGTTTTAGCTATAAGCCTTAATCTGTTTAGCTATTTAAATTTTAAAAAATATTCATAGAACGGATTTATGTATGTGGAAATATATGCAAATGGAACTGTTGAAATTCTTACGTTTTTATGCAAATTAAGCGTAGTCAAATTATTTACAAATGTTACAAGACCAATGACTCAAAAATAATTGCAATTAACGAGTTGCAAAAAAAAAAAAATACACAAATTACATTCAGTACATAAAACAGAACAAAATTTTGTTAAAAACATGTAAAGAAAAACAATTGTTTTTGTTTAACGAACCGTGAACAGAATGAGACAATCTTTTTTCTTGTCTTTCCAAGAAACGCTAATTCGGTAAGTAGTCTTTTTCTTCACTGTGACTATAAGAAAATTTATCATTTGTAGTTAAATAGCATTGGAGATAGTTTCTCTATAGAAATTCACAAGACAGCGACTTCAATTGCATTTTTATATTTCTGCTATATAGCTGAGCAGAAAGAAATGCAGTTTCCTCTGACATATGCTATGCAATTCGAGAAAGAAAATATTTGAACCTTAAACTCAATTGAAGTTGTTACAAATTTAAAATTAAAAACCTTCTCATTTGCAATTGCGTTGTTGATTTTTCCACAGATACTATTTTATATGTGCACATGTGCACATTTATCTGCAAAAAAGTAAAAATCTTAGCATTGAACGCCCAAACAATCGCAACGAACTCCACACGTTATCACGCACCTTACAATTGCGTTTCCGGCGTAGTTTGTTCAGATACAACAACAACAATAAACAACAACACGTGTAATTAGGTATTCATTTTTTAGACTTTGCACACTAATTTGTTGGCTGCCATCTTAAGAATTACATATACTCATGTGTGTACTGCTTATGGGTATTTGTAGTTATATTAAGAGGTTCTAATGTAATGGTTTTGACTCATGCAAGAAGTAGCGTTCCGCTTCATACACCCCAAAGTTAATTAAGAATACAATTTGTATTCCAACGAAAACAAAACTTGGAAGGCGAGGGTGTGTACCCAATAGAGCTTAAAAGGACGGACCAAAGAAAACAGAATAGTTTGGCCTCAAAACGGAAATAAAATTAATTGCACATTAATGTGCCAATTTTATATGTTTCTTCTATGGTTCAAACTCTTCAGACTTAGTTTTCGTACGGCTGCCAATTGTAGACAATATTGTAGAAAGCTGAGACTAGAAAAGCGTTTTCCGATTTCTATTTATTACTGATCTTTTACTTATATATTTTACTAATAATATAGTAGTTAAAGAGAGGCTCCTAACTTACAATGTTGTAGAAAAAGAGATCATATGTTTAAGGTATTTTTCAAGATTGATCATTGATCTTTTAAAAACAGATTCTAAATATCTTTAATAAACACGAAGATCCAAGCTTTGAATGTTCGGAACTTTTTTCCAATTCAACTTTGTAATATCCGTAACCCAAAGTCTCATAAACACGGTTCAGTCTATTGTCGATAGATGGCTTTGAACACCTACCGCAGGAATGGTAACTTGATATTTTACTTGGACCATAAGAAGAAAGTCTTTTTAGATATAAATGTGACAATAGGAAAATGTTGCTACTTATTCCAGTTAATATTCGAGTTGCTTTGTGAATGTCTTTTTCATTCATTTTTTTTTATTTGCAACCGTACTATGCGTCCTGAACAACGAGATTCCCGTAGTAAGTAACTCAATCATCTCGGATGGTCAATCCTTAACAGTTCTAGAATGTCAAGCTTTTTTGCATTAATTGGATAGGCTTGCCAGTTTCCAATTCATGTTGGTACTTGAATACTGTGTCATTTAGGGTAATTGTAGAGCACATGAGCTTGCTAAGCATGTTAATTTAATGTACTAGTCATTGGCTTTAACTAAAATGGAATCTACTATTAAGTAATACGATATCCGTGCAGCCGGTTACTGTGTTTTATTAAGATATAAAATAAATTTTTTTGTACTCAATAGTGAGATTTGCTCTGGTTGTTAATCTGCAGAGGAGAAGGAAACTGTATTTCACTTTATATATTAGTGATGTCTTTGGCTAGTGAAAGATATCACATCTGTAGAACCCTTACTATTTATGCCCTGACAGAGCTGTCATTATTCGAAATTAAGGACATGATCGAATGTTTCACTTTTACTTAATGAGGGCAATTGCGCCTATCTTCTTCAATGTTTTATGTGCGTTGTTTACTTTTCTGTTAATTAATGTTTAGGTGGTCCTCTTGGTTTAGGCGTATCA